TCCTAGCGTGAATATTCACATACATATTGACCTGGTACAGGCTACAACTTCCTACCCAAAAACGTTATCAAAACAGGTTTGTCTGCCAAGCCATACCTCATGCCCATAGCACACCCAAGGGGTTAACCTAAGCCTTAGGTTGCTATGAAATAAATAAGTACCCCTATAAATAAGTTCCCCTTCATCTCATGAGCTAATAAGCGGTAAGTGAAAACAGCAAATAAGTGTTACCAAGAAAGCTAACGATGTCCTACCTTTGTGTAAGGATTACTGGTGATGATTACGACAGATTGGCGAAGTCGAAGATGCCTGCCCAGCACAACACAAGGCCAACAACCACCTCCATTGTGAGAGCACAACTCCAAGAAGGCGCCGATGCAGCCGATGCACTTGGACGGGATGGTGGTGGGGTTTGGACTGGAGCACCAGAAAAGGAATCACCAGGCATTTGCAACGAAGGAACTGAACCGGGAGAAGGCCAGAATAAAGATGCAGCGGAAGTGTTCAGAGATGGCTCTGTTTGTGAAGAGATTGAAGACATGGTCGCCGAAAGAGGCACCGCACCTATGGAGGACACGGGCGCGGAAGCGTTCAGAGATGGCTCAGCTTGCGAAGAGATTGGAGGCAAGATGGCAGACAAAGGCACCGCAAATACAGAGGAAATGGGCAGAAGGTTGTCGGACGGTGGCGCTGACGGCATTGGTGAGGAGGAGGACGAGAGTGGACTCAGAGAGGGAGACTCTACAACATCAGGGTCAATTTCTGCTATCCACAGCTCGGCAGTCTGACCCTTAGTTGCGACAAGAAGAGAGTGTCGATGCCGTAACTTGCCACTGCCAACGACCTCCCCACAACGGAGCGGTCAGGATCTTTGAACCTGACATTAGTGTTTTCGGCCTTGATCACCTTTCCATCGGGCAAATCAAACTCCACCAATTGCACCAAGTTTTCGGTCAAGCCGGTATCATCCATGTAGATATCAACGCCCACGACAAGGAAGTGATCGCCCGGAAAATATGTGGCCATCCTAGGGGTGGCGTAATAGGTTTCATAAGGTACAGCTCCAGCGAGGGAGGAAGCGTTGCCGCCAAGAAGGACCTCTTGGCGCTTCTGGTCGAGTCCCAGCCGGAGCACGGTAAACTTATCTATATAGGGTACAACTAACGAGCTCCCATCTGTAGAAAGACCAAAACCTATGCTCTCCCAGGTAGGCGCCACAAACGGATAGCGGACTGAGATATTCAAATTCCTTAAGTCAACTTCAATTATGGACATTAGGGTGGCAACATACAACGTGTCTTTCACCTCGTCGTAAACCATGGTGGAGGACGTATCGAGAATCTTGTTTGCACATGTCCTCGGCAAAGACGAAGCATTGAGGCGACTGCCAGGCATGTAGAAGGCCGCTTTGATCGAATTCGGGGTGCCCGTGAACTTGACCAAGGGTCGC